CTGTTGAGGCTTTTAGCAGTAACTTTAAGAGAACAAAAGGTCAGAATAAGGGGGTCACGAAAACAACTCGTAGAATAGTCTGGAAAAGTTGACATCATCAGGGGTTCACAATAAGTGTCTATTGGGTGGTGTTATATTTCCAGCCATTCTGGGAAAAAGCCCACCCTTTTCCTGGCAAAGATAACTTGGTATAAAAGCTTATGGTTTTCTAACTGCGTCAGTTCAGTTTGGAAGGTCTGATCTGTCGGTTGAAGCTCGTTACTGACTGAACTCAAATAAATCCCTCTGGCTGGCCAAGAATCGATGTCTCCTCTTTATTATTTATCTTGATAAGTGGACCTTTCTGCCACTACAGTACTTGTTCCTCTGCATGAATGCTTTAGTAGATTTTGAGCAGTGTCTAGGGTGGTTGTCTTGTTGGGAGATCCAGCCTCGGCTTCAGGAGCTTCAACTTTGTCACTGATTCCTGGACATTGGTCTCCAGAATCTGCTGACATTGATTGGAATCCATGCGTCCCTCAACTTTAACAAGATTCCTAGTCCCTGTAGTGGCCACACCGCCCCACAGCATGATGGAACCACCACCACATTTTACTGTAGGTAGCAGGTGTTTTTCTTGGAGTGCTGTGTTCTTTTTCCTCCATGCATAACGGCCCTTGTTCTGCCCAAATAACTATGTTTTAGTTTCATCAGTCCACAGCACCTTACTCCAAAATGAAGCTGGCTTGTCCAAATGTGCTTTAGCATACCTCAAGCAGCTCTGTTTGTGATGTGGGCGGAGAAAACGCTTCCTCTGCATCACTCTCACATTACAGCATCTCCTTGTGTAAAGTGTAATAGTTGAACGATGCACAGTGACTCCATCAGCAGGAAGATGATGTTGTAGGTCTTTGGTGCTGGTCTGTGGGTTGACTCTGACTGTTCTCAACATCTTTGGCTTCTGTTTATTGGAGATTTTTCTTGGTCTGACACTTCAATCCTTGACATGAACTGTGCCTGTGGTCCTCCATTTTCTCACAATGTTTCTCACAGTGGAGACTGAAAGCTGAAATCTCTGATAGCTTTCTGTATCCTTCCCCTAAACCATGACGATGAACAACCTTTGTTTTCAGCTCATTTGAAAGTTGTTTTGAGACTCCCATGCTGCAACTCTTCAGAGAAGATGCAAAGCAGAGAAAACTTACACTTGCCCCCTTAATTACCCTTTCTCATAATTGGAGTCACCTGTGTATGGAGTTCAAGGGTCACTGAACTTACCAAAACAAATTTAAGTTCCAATAATTAGTTCTAAAGGTTTTGAAATCAATAAAATGACAACWGTGCACAAATTTATGCACCTGCCTAATTTTGTTTAAACAATTATTGCACACTTTCAGTAAATCATATAAACTTCATTTCACTTCTCAAATATCATGTTTGTCCCCTATATGATATATTTTACAGATTTTTTTATCCAAACAATCAATGATTTCTAAAGGTAAATCAGGAAAATTAACAAGGCTGCCCAAACTTTCACACCCCGCTTTATATTTATATACTAAACCAGGGCTATTCAACTGGCAGCCTGCGGGCCACATCCGGCCCGCGATTGAGCAAAGTCCGGCCCACCAATTGGTTCATTCATCCCTCAAGCCCAAACCCCCGGTTTTCTACTTTAATTATTATAAGTTATTTTAGTTAAACATAGACATGTTTTGTATCTAGAGAAATGTCTGAATCTTGGCTAGAAGCTGGTAAGAAACATTTTTATGCACACTCAAGACAGTTAAAATTACAAGCAGTTGAAGATAAAACTATGAAAGTGAAAATAAAATTGGTTTTAAAATTCGGCGAGTCAGAGATGTCAAAATATTATTTGTGTAAAAAGGAGGCAAAATGTTTTTTTGGGGGGGGGGATATTGTTTAATTTTCACTACTTTTATAGGGTTTTGCATGTTGTATTAATGTTTACACAGAGACACCAGAAAGGAAGTTTCAAAACTTTGTAGTTTGTTGGTTGAAAAAAGAGAATTGTGCGTGGAGAGGTGCAAACAGCAGAATAAAATATTTTTCTCTAAACAAAATCATAATAAAAACAGACGGCGCATGTATGATTTATACTGTATCTTCTTCGAAACTTAAATCTTTGCAGGACATAGATATGTAATAGTGACATTTTCTTTTATTTTACATTTTTTATTTTCTACATTTTTCTTGTCAAAACTTTTTCTGCTCAGACTTTTATTTTATTGTCTTTTTTACCTATTCCTCAGTCTTTTATTGGTTGTTTCCTTCAATCACTGCTGCATTATTTACCAAATAAATAGTTTCCTAATTCAAAGTCTTGATAAATTTTGTTTAGTGTGAATAGGATGAATGCATTATCTTGCACTTTCTGTTTGTTTATTTATTTATTTATTTTGCTGAGTGTGTCATGCAGCAATGAATGATCTTGATTGGTTTTAAGTCATTAAAATGTGACATTTTAAATCAGCATAAAGCCCATTTACATAATGCAGATCTGCAGAGCAACTGTTGATGAAGAGATGCTGGGATTGTCTAATATTTAAAATCTTCTTTCTTGTAAATAGGTGCAAATATTGTGTTTTAATAATTGAACATGTGGCAGTGATTGAAGTCTCCTCCAAAGTGTGTAATCAAATTATCCATTATTATGAGGCTGTGGCTGTAATTGGGTTCAGATGTTTGCCGTGAGTCTCAGTTCAGCGGGGTTACCTCTGATGCTCGTATCTCTTCCTGATTCATTCAGCCTTAAAGGAAGAGGAAAAGTGCAAAAATAAACCCATCAYAGAAAAGAACTGCAGGCATTTCAGTTTGATTTAATAGATGGACTGACTGAACCATGAGGCTTTTCTTTTGTTTCGCTGTTTCTCTTCTGCTCGTTTGTGTAAGGTTTGACTGCTGGATGGCATTTAGGAGATAAATTAGACGTGTTGGAAAAGCCAATTATTTCTATGGAGTTGTCGTTTTTCACGTAGTTCTCTGACAATTGAAATCTCCCTGGTATAATCTATGACCTTATCAGAACAAGGTGTCTCCATAGAGACTAAAGCCTTTTCCTACATTTCTCGAGTTTAAGAGTAAATGAGCTTTAAAGCACAACGTGGTAATGCTTCAGTTTGCTTTCAGTCTTAATAAGCTGCTTGTGACCAGGGCCGGATTAACACTTCGCTGTACCCTGGGCAACAATATTCAAGGGCCCCATCATCACGACCCCAGGATTACC